ATTTGAAATGTTGGGACATTTACAGCGCATGGCCTTTAGATATAACATTAGATACGGATGTGAATGCATCAGCCTTAAAGACTATGTTATGAATCCTGAACAAAAGAGCAAGATGAAGGCTGTTAGAATGGAGAAATAACAGGAAGAGAAACGGTACAAGATAATTGAGGAACTGCATGAATATCTTACAGAAGAAGTGGGTAATTTCCCCAACTCTTTAAAGGAAAACTTCAAGTAAGCATAGTAGGGATTGAGTGAAGGAGATGACAGATTTAAAATTATTCTCTCCACTGCTGTCAAGTATAACAAGAAATGCGGATCCTATTTTTGTCAGGAAACATTACTTAGGATAAAAGAGGATTATGCCGCCACAGACGATCGCGAAGCTTTCATCAAGAAGGAAAGAGAGAAGGGAAAGATGAAAGATGGCTTTTATTTTGATGAAGTTGATGCCTTTATAAAAAGCCTACCAGAGAATAACAGGCTAAAGGCAATGTTGGAGTCAGGAGCCAAACCATTTCCCTGTCATATAATGAAGAGTATGGCTTGGTTGGGTAGTGATAGCAAACCCGACGAATTATAGAATCCAGATGACGAGTGGGAATGTTATACAAATGGCGTGAGTCATAGATTAATGTGCACTCTGTCTTCAGGCGCCTGGACTAGTTAATATAAAAGGCACTGTTCTACATCTATATCAGGTTACCTTTACCGACGTCTTATGAGGCTACTTGAGGACGTGTGTATTCATCCCGACGGCACAGTGAGGCTGTCGGATAATCGGATACTTCAGAAGTCTTATGGCGACGGTTTCAGTACTGACCAGACCCAACCTGTCTCCCTGAGGATAGGCGCTTTTGACGTGGATGAGAAAAAGAACTTCCATGACTTTGCCTAGACGCTTCCAAAGGAGGAGATTCAAGACTGGAAGGAAGAAGTAGCTCAGATGCGTGAAATGCGGAAGCGTATTGATACAGATACACCTGGGGAGAATACAATGCAGATTCGGTCGCCCCTTTGTATATAAGATGTCTTATTGGTTCACAGGGAAAGCATTGAAAATGGATCGCATCTTTCTGTCCGAAAAAAAAATGAAATGCTGAATAAGGAGCTTCAAGACATTCACATCCTTGGCACTAGTGAAGACAGTTTAGTTCGTGATGACCCCATGTTTAGGTATGAGTTTAAATGCTACATGTAGCAATAGCTTTCTTCCCTATTAGTCATTGGGAAGTACAAACTATGCAAGGAAGAATTCAAAAATGTTCTCCACGATATTAAGTACAGGTGTAAGGTAGCTCTAGCTCAGCCTGGTGCACGAGTAGGCCTTCTTGCGGCTTAGTCATTGGCTCAACCTCTGACACAGGGCACATTGGACGCTATACACACCAGCGGTAATAAACGGTATGACCCATATGATAAGATCTAGAAACTTCTGAACATGCAAGACGAAGATCTTTTAAACATCAGTAAAAAAGAAGGTCCTGCAGCAGCCAAGGCACATCTTGCAAAGGACTTATACGAATAGTATTGTGCGATAGGATAGGATATCGACAAAAAGCACATCTCGATTGTGGTAGATTTCCTCTCAGTCGGTGACCAGCTGGGTGGGCTGACGAGATTTACTTTGTTGAAGAATAGTAAGCATTATATGAAAGCTGCATTCTTTGAGCAGCCATTGCTTCCATTGGCGATGCAGGCTACTATGTGTGTTGATGACCCTCTTCTCGGAATAACCGAGAATTTAGTTTTTAATAAACCCTGCGGTCCTCTTTTCAAGGGTTTAACTTCGGGAAAAAGGCCTACCAACAAAAAGGTGGGTCGAGTACCTAAATAGGACAAGATAAATCCTGCTAAGAAGAGGGACAAGAAACCCAGCAATCCTGAAGACGCCAAGGATCCTGCTAAGACGAAGGACAGGAAGAGGCCCAGAGACGAAGAAGAGGATCGAGTTTCTAAAAAGGCCAAGAGAGATCCTGAAGACGCCAAGGATCCTGCTAAGACGAAGGACAGGAAGAGGCCCAAAGACGCAGAAGAGGATCGAGTTTCTAAAAAGGCCAAGAGAGATCCTGAAGACGCCAAGGATCCTGCTAAGACGAAGGACAGGAAGAGGCCCAAAGATGAAGAAGAGGATCGAGTTTCTAAAAAGGCCAAGAGAGATCCTGAAGACGCCAAGGATCCTGCTAAGACGAAGGACAGGAAGAAGGCCAAAGACGAAGAAGAGAATCGAGTTTCTAAAAAGGCCAAGAGAGATCCTGAAGACGCCAAGGATCCTGCTAAGACGAAGGACAGGAAGAAGGCCAAAGACGAAGAAGAGAATCGAGTTTCTAAAAAGGCCAAGAGAGATCCTGAAGACGCCAAGGATCCTGCTAAGACGAAGGACAGGAAGAAGGCCAAAGACGAAGAAGAGAATCGAGTTTCTAAAAAGGCCAAGAGAGATCCTGAAGACGTACATAAAGGCGCCAAGGATCCTGCTAAGACGCAAAAGGTTTCTAAGACG